GGAAAGAGTATGAAACCAAATGCAGTGATTGCTGTGGCCATAGTTGCTACAGTATCGCCCTTGTAAGTTTGTTTGTTTGTTTGTTTTAAGAACAACGTACCATTCTATCACTAGAGTTCCCTCTTTCCTCTCCTTTTTACATTTGAATCATGACAAGCGCAGCAAATGCAAAAGATAATGATGCAGAAATGAATAACGGAGATGAGTTTGAGATCCTCAGTAAGAATTTAAGAACTGAATTATTGTCCCTTCCCTGATTCCTTATTTCTATAAAACAACTTTCTCTGGCATGCTTCTGCTTCCAGGATTCAAAACAGGTGCTCTGTGTGCTTTGATGAAACATGCAAGTTTTAGTCTGTATAAAGAAAAAAATGCTGAGACTGGCCTTGATTTTGCTGGTGTGGGCTGCAGCCTGGTTAAGATCCAGGTTCCTAGCTCACTGTTCTGCCATCAGAATAATCGCAAGCCCAAGAAAAAGTTTCATTCTATGCATTGTACCTAGTGTGCTACCCCCTTTGTTTCGACTATCTGTTTTTTATTCTTTTCAATCTGTTCAGTAGTGAAGTAGTAAGGAACCTGCTTTCTGAGATGTCAGATCTGTCTCGTTGCAGCGTTTCTTCCAAAAATTAAGTTAGAAGATCACAGGAGAGGAAACGGTACAAATTTTGCACTGTGTTCTGGGAACTGAAACTACAGAGCTGTTAAATCTAATTTTAAGCTTTTGATGCTGGTATTGTTCCTTTGAAAGGGGTCCAAAGAGCAATTTAACATTCTCATAGAATCCTGCCACAACATTAGGTGAGCATCACTCACAATAGATATTCATTAATAACTGCCTACTTGGCAGCATGTGCTATCTTTCAAGTAGCCTCTTTTAGTATGAACACAGTGCAAACAGAAAAAGTTGGGTTTTTTTTTTTCTCTATCAAGTTATACACATATTTAAATCTGAACCCTCGTGCCACCTTGTCCCTGCAGCTAAGGGAGCGGATGCAGATCCATTCATGATGTTTGTTTACACTTGCTTGCTTTGGCAGGCACAGTTATTGCAGTTCATTTAGGTGAAAGGGAAAACTGTACATCTGTGAATTTGCTTTTGGACTCCATCCTGCAGAAACAGTACACTCAATTCTCTTCCAAGTCAGTTGAGGCTGAAGATTATCAGTGTCCTGCAGCGTGGGCCGAGAGCCTCTAGTCACTTTTTAATATTTCACATAGTAATTGATTTTTACTTAGTCAAAGCACGTTTTTAGAATTCTAAGTGAAAAGTCTTTGAGCAGCAGAAGGCTGCTACAGGCCTGTACAGCTTGTGTATAGAATAATCTGACAGCATTAACAATTGTGTTTTATCATGAAGTTCCTGAATAATTTTGACATTTTTTTTGAAGTGTTAAGTAAAACAAAATATCCCCCAGAAGTAGCTGTTCTCTGGTATTGGAAAACATCTGTGATGTATTAATGAAATGGTTTGTTTGTAACTAATAGCTGCAGTTGTTATTTGACTCTAAGCAAAGTTAATTTAAACCTTATTATATTATTTTATTTCTCTGTATTCTTCTGCACTGTGGCATTTGAAAACCTATTAGAATTTAAAAGGACTGGGGGTTTTTATTTTGAAGAATATAAAATCTGTTCATATGTGTGCTTGTTTCATATTCTTTACTTTAAGAAAGTCTTCTAGTTAACGCGTAGCTTCAAACTCACTTTGAAGTTTTGCTACAGAGGTGCAACAAAAGAAAATTCAGAAAATTTGATGTAATGTGTCACTAATGCCAGAAGAGGGTAGACCAGTTCAATTGAAATTTACTTGACTTTTGTGCAGGTTGTAACTAGTTTTCGAAAAGCATTTTGTCTACTCAAGTCCTTGTTGTTCCAAGTATTGGCTGATCTAGCATGTTTCTCTGGGTGTTAGTGGTGGTGGTTATTTTTATATAAACTTATTCTCACTAATGCATGATGCATGTGTAAAAGCCTATGTTTTTTTCTCTTCCAGTTCCTATGTTAGGTTTGATATAATTCGAAGAATAATGACTAGGTTTTTTGGAACTGAAGTAATCATGGTGATGGGGATTACAGACATAGATGACAAAATAATTAAAAGAGCCAATGAGGTATGTATTTGTTAGAATCTCTCACCCAAACTTTCAGTGTTTTCTGTGGCTACTTACCTATGGGAAAGGACCTAGGCTTTGATTTCTGTTTTGTTTTAACTAGTATATAATACATTTTGAAAGTTCTAGTCATCTTTGGTTTTAGAGGGTTTGGCATAGACAGCTGTGTGGAGGAAACAGTGCTGAGACTTGTCCGTTGAGAGGCAGCATGGGCCGTATTACAGTACTCGGGGCAGATTTCCTTATGACCTTGCACTGTATCGGGAAGGGAAACAAACAGCCACTGTAAACCTTCAGCAGAGTCGAAGATTGTCTTATCCCAAAAGCAAAACATAATCAGCCAGTAGATTTCAGGCTGTTCTCTGAAGAAAAGTTGTGTGTCATTGCTCATGTTCTTTCAGCATCAGTCATTAAAGCAGTGCTGACAGTATGAAACATGATATCCAGAGTTCTACCATCTCATGAACATGAGGGCAACTCCTGAAAGGTGCTGAGTGCCATCTAGCTGTCACGTCAGAATCTTAAAAAGTTTGCTTAATCCTGTTTGAGTTCATGGCCTATTTGAAAGTTGACGCAGAGTGTATGGGTAAGTCTTGACGAGACTGGGGCCTTTTAGGGTTGGATTAATACAAAAATAGTAGGGCTAAAAAAGCATTAACTCAACCAAACCTTTCACTGAATTCTCAGGGTTGTTGGCCTTATTAGAAGTTTTATGGTTGTCAGTAGCTCTCAACTGGATTTTAAATCTGACCTTTTTTTTTTTTTCTTTTGCCACCTGAGCTTGGTGAATGATTATTCCATTTCTTTTTCTTTTTTGAACCCTAAAATACTAAAGATTTTGGCTTTAAATTTTTTTAATGAGCTTTTTTTTTTTTTTTTTAATTTGTAACTCATGTCTTCTGAATCATCAGTGAATGTGCTGGATCTAATTACAGTTGCAAGCTTTAAGCTAGTTTCTTGAAGCCAGAGAATTTAACAGGTGTCTTTTTTTTTATATTTAATTTTTAAATAAACAGTTACTACTGCAGTTTAACGTAGGGCACTACATTCTAAAGAACGTTAGCTTACTGCTCTCATGTAGAAATCCCTTTTTTTTTTTTCCTCTTTTTTCCATTTACTTCCAGCCTTTTTTTAAGGCAGGAGGCCAGTACTCTAAAAAATGCTGCTTTTAAATCAGTGTGTACGCATTTTAAATTTTTTATTGTCAGAACATGATGGACATTGGCTATTATGCTTGATGGGAAGAAATGACATAATATTTTTAAAGAATTTATGTTCATTTACCCCATTCTTTTGTTTTCTGAAGAAATCTTTGTGTCGTTGGTTGGTGCCTGCTTTGCTCTGTGCATTCTGTTTGGATAGCCAAGACCTCTGCCTGCGTGCTTTGATTTTTTTTTTGTTGCTGGGCCTGCAATACCTGAAGCATTACAGTGTCAGATCAACATGCCCAACACCCTTTGTTCCCCATCCTCTTGAGATTCATCTGGAAAGAATCTGAAAGTGAGGCATCTTGTCTATGATGATCATGCTACATTCCCTCTGTAGTCCTCTGAAAAGGAGATGAATCTTATGTTTTGGGCATCTGTACAAAGATGGGAGGAATTTCCTTGTCTTCTATAGGTGCCTTTCTGTTGATCAAAGCAGCAGCTTAGCTGGGTATTAATGAGATGAAGCCCAGTGCTGGTGTCAGGAAGAACACCCTGGTGTGTAGACAGAGGTATGCCTTTGTTTTTCATTGCTGAGCATCGTCCTCGTTGCAGGATGAGTTCACCAGAACTTTGGTTCGCTTATCCAGTAGCTTGTTCAAATCATGGTGAGCACCTGCAGGCTGAAAACCAGACCCCTTAATTATGCTCCTGCAGTGAATAATAGCAATGAAACTGAATTTATGTTTGTAATGATTCAGTTATCTGCAAGCTGGAGAGAACGTCACTGGGTTAGCTCCTGCCCAGTACATTTTCCTCAGAGAAGCTGAAAAATTTTGAATTTGAAGTGCTTTGATATCATGCTTCTGCTTGCTAGGGCAGGTTTTGTTACCACATATCTTTCAAGCCCTGACCTATTCTGAATATTTGGGACAAGTATCTTGTCATGTACAAATTGCCTCTTTCCTTGTGGACTGCACTTATTCTTTACTTCTGTGAAGATGTCTGTTCCTGTCAGTCAACTCACGAATGAGAAATGTGGAAAAGGTGTTTGAGAACTACTGTGCTTGGCAAAATATGAAACTGACTTTCAGTTAATTTTCTCTGATTGTGTTGATATATATGAGTAACAGCGACTAGCTGAAACATCTTATTTTTTTTAATCACTGAAAATTAATATCCTGCCTGATCCTGCAAGTCTATGATCTGTCTTTCTGACATGCAGGTTGCATCAGTATCCCCTGACAGTAAGTTGAGTGAATTTCACATCCTGTGAACTTGTCACTAGTGGAAGACCCTCTCAAGAGAAACATGATGGGGGAGGGAAGGAGCTTGTTAATGTTGTCCTTAGTTGCTTTCTTGTAAAAGATTGGTACTAAAATATTTTGGTAACTCAAAAGTGTAAATGAAATACCACTTTTCAGTTATAAATAACTTAAAGAATGTTAGATTAATAAGCCTTTCTGACTCTCTACTTTGGGGACTCTGTAAGTCTTCTAATTAGCTATTAACTGAGTGATAAAAGATTGCAGTATTTTATATTACTTTGATTTATGATTTACTAATCTGCTTCTCCTTTTTCAGATGAGTGTATCGCCGGTAGCTCTTGCTCGTATTTATGAAGAAGACTTTAAACAAGATATGGCTGCCTTGAAGGTACAGATACTTGAACTTCTAAATTTAAGAATATTTTAAAGCATTTGTTTTCATAAGGAATCTGACTGTGACAGTTTTATCTTAAGAAATAAGTTGATTAATGGCTTGTGTGGTGAAGTATTGTTAAGATATTGAATATGGACTTACTTTTTTCTCTCTTTTGGGGGGAAAAATGGCTTTCTATTATGCCCCTTTTGAGTAAGGGGAGAGGAAAAAAATCAGACCCTGACTGTCGTGGAAGACTAATTTGTGTGTTACATTTATTGAGGAATACGACTTCTTTGCCTTAGGCAACTGAGCTGTGGTTCCTTAATTACACATATTTACTAATATAAAGAAACAACCTGATCTTGAGCATGTCAGACACAAAATATTTTTATGGACTTCAGATGACTTTCTTTCTGGTCCAGAGTACTGTCAGAAGTGGAGAGTAAGCCACTGGAGAAAATTAGTGAATACTTTTTTTTTTCTTTTCTTTTTCTTTCTTTTTTTTGAGCTCTTCAAATTATTTTTTTTTTTTATTACCTATATCTTAAATGCTGTCTATGGCTCTTTCGATTTGCAGTATTTTTTTGGAAAGGTAAAACTGAGCTGAACATTCTTTAAAGATTTTATGCTTCTTAAATTGAAGTGACTTGCCAGCAGTATATTTGACACACAGGCTAATAAGCTGTTACGGTTTCTTTGTTTAAGGTCCTTCCTCCTACGGTATATATGAGAGTGACTGAAAACATCCCTCAGATAGTTTCCTTTATAAAAAGAATAATTGCTAGTGGACAAGCTTATGCAACCTCAGAAGGTAAGACTTGTATCAAGGCATCTCCATGTTAGCACGTGGACAGGAAATCAGTGCTCGTAGTAATCCTGTTTTGGGATCAGATGAGGTACCCTGTACCAGGTTTCCTTCTGTTTGTTAACAGACAGGGCGTGAGCAACTTATCTGCAATGATATGACTACACAGAACGACTGTTGCTCAGTTTCTAAGTTAAATGTAACTCATCACTAATGTAATTGTTTACTGTAATCGAACGGCAAACTACTGTAGGGAGATCCTGGCCTGGGTGCTACAAGAGACCTGGAGAAACCTGTTAACTCTAAACAGGGAATGGCCATCTGCTCTGCGCTATGTAGCGCGAGGCTGCAAAGCACAATGCGTGGAAGCTTTTCAGCAGAGCTGGTGGTTGCAGAAGGATTCAATTGCGTTATGATTGGAATAGTAATAGATTTCTCTTCAGTTGTGGAGGGGTTTGCTGATTGTGCATGGACAGGAAAGAACCCCGTGAGATCTCCAGGGGAGGAAAAAAAAGTAATCTTCATGTGCAAAATGAGCAAATGCAATGAAGTTACTGGAGAGCAAATAACATGGAAACATGTGCTGCTACTTGTGCAGTATTTCTGAATTTCTAAATCAAAATTTCAAATGGAAGTTCAAGGGCATTTTATTTTGATTTGCTTTCAGGGAAATGTTATCTCTTCATCATATCAGTATATTGAATTTTTGATATAAAACTAAACATCTCTTTTCTGTTAGGCAATGTTTATTTTGATGTTAAGTCTTGGGGGAAAAGATACGGAGTGTTAACTACTATTTATCCTGACACAGAAGATGAAGTAGGTAAGTTCGTGTCACTGGTTTGCATTAATGCTTTGTTGAACTCTTGACTCATCTATGCATAAAGCTTCACAGAACAATCTGAAAAAATTTTCTGACTGGTTGTACGTAGCCAGCTTTTTGGTTAATTAAGACCACATTGTTCTAATAATTTTTTCTGAAGCTCTCACTGCTGCCAGTGTAAGAGAAATCTCTGTCTCTTTTCGTATTTGATTTTTTTTCTATACCTTTGGTCAGGTACCTGAGAACAGTTACAGGTCTTAATCAATTTTATTTAAATACCTGTGAGTGATACATACAAATTTAATAGTGAGGTTATCTTCTGAGCCTTCGCACTAGCCAGTGATGAGGCAGTCAAGAGTAAATGCAGAAAACGCCATCTATTGTACCATTGTTTGGGCAGTTACACCCTTCTGATGTATACCAACTGGATGAAGTTACTGCTTTCATTACCAAACTACTGCTGAGCAGACTGTGTGAGGGATGGGAGGTTACTTGATAGACTGTGGTAAAGCAGGCTTATAGCCCTGGCTGTAGTTGTCCAGCAGCTCAGCAGGATTGCTGAGACTCTCTGCAGTTTCCATAAGTTGGGTGTGATTAGCTCTTCATGTAGGAAAGCTTGATGCAGGTCGCCATCCTTTACGTGCTGAAGTTCAGCATTTCTTCATTGAAAAATCTGTGTGGAATTACTGAACAAGTTTGGGAGGCTGATGCCCAGGAATTGCAGCCAAAAAATTCTCACAGCTCTGCTCTGGAGTTGTTTCAGCATTAGAATTCACAGAGGAAATGTATTTCGTTGACAGTTCTTTAGAGAAAGTTATTGATAGGCTATAATTATCCTCTTGATGAGCCCTAGGCATACAGTAGCATAGTGGTCCCCGACTGAGTATAGCTAGAGATGCACTATGATTTATTGTGACGTGTTTTGTTATGTAAGCACAGAAGGTTTTTTTTAAGGCATTACGCCTTTTTTGTTTGCTCTTAACTCTTGTTAAGAACTGCATTTGGAACTTCAGTCTTATGGAATAACTACTGGAACGTGTTGTTTTTTGCCAATGTCTGGGGCTTTTCAGGGCTTTTTTTTTCTTTTTAATGCCTGTTGTTGTTGGAAGCAGAACATCAAAACAGGGCTTGTGTTCGTTCACCCTTTCTCTCCATCCAGAAATTAAAAATAGGTAGATTATAGGTCAGTCTCTTCTTTCTCTGTGAATCCAGAATGTTTCCATTCCTGAACATCCTAGACAGTACCCAAGCAAAGAGTGGCAGCTACAGGGTATAGTATCAAAAGCAGAATCATCCAGGAGAGCAGAGGATGTGAAGGCAATTGCCTCTTGCTGTTCCCTGAAACCAGGACTGTGTTTCAGAGCTCTGTTCGCTCTGCAGGCTGCCTCACAGTTTCTCCTTTGGGTAAAAGAGACTAGCACTCTTATTTAACAATGGAAAAATGCTGTTGCCATAACAAAGCTTGAGATGAATAACCCCATGCACCAGTACGTGGTGGGGGCCGACCAACTGGCAAACAGCTTTGCAGAGAAGGACCGGGGGCTTCCTGGAGGACCCCAAATTGATCATGACCCAGCAATGTGCCCTCGTGGCAAAGAAGGCTAACACAGTATCCTGGGCTGCATTAGGAAGAGCATTGCCAGCAGGCTGAGGGAGGTGACTCATATTCAGCCCCGGTGAGACACATCTGGAGTGCTGGGTTCAGGTCTGGGCTTTCCAGTACAAGAGACACATGGACATACTGGAGTGTGCCCAGTGAAGGGCCACAAAAATGATGAAGGGCTTGGGGCATCTGTCGTACAAGGAAAGGCTGAGGAAAGTGGAATTGTTTAGCCTTGAGAAAAGAAAGCTGGAGGGATCTTAGAAGACTGAGTCAAACTCTTCTCAGTGGTGCCCAGTGACAGGACAAAAGGCAATAAATTGAAATACAGGGAATTCCATTTAAACGTAGAAAAAAAACCCCATTTTACTATGAGGGTGGTCAAACACTGGAAGAGGTTGCCCAGAGAGGTTGTGGAGTTTCTGTCCTTGGAGATATTCAAAACCCAACTGGACAAGGCCTTAAGCAGCCTTCTATAGGTGACCCTGCTTTGAGCAGGGAGGTTGGACTAGGTGATCTCCAGAGGTCCCTTCCAACCTCATCCATTCTGTGATTCTGTGACTGAAACTGTTTTACCCTGTTTCCCTCAAGTCGCTTATTACTAAATTTACTGTTTCTTGTAAAGATTTTCTGACTGTTATTTAGTCTATAACCCAGAAGATGGGAATAGTGCTTTTTCGTATCAATACTCAAAAAAGGCAAGGATGGGATGGAGTCATCAGATAGTGGCCAGTCAGAGCCTGGCAAAATAATGAAAAAACCAAGCTAAGGATTCAGTTCATAAGACGTAAAGGGAGAGGAATATAATCCTAGTTTTATCAAGTTTGACTGATGAAGCAGGTGTAATAGATTCTTGTAATGTGCTTCATTTTAGTATTGCGTGACATTCTGAATAGAAATTGATTCTATATATCAATAAAGTACAAGCTGAATGGGTCAGTAAGAATGACCATCTAACAGATCTCCAAAAATAACTCAGTGGACAATCATCATTAGAATGTGTTGATACTGGAATCCTGCAGGGACTAGTTTAGACCCAGTAATACGAAGTATTTTCATTAGTGATCTGGAACAAGTAGAAGCAAGTCTAACATCACTGCTGATTAAACAGATGAGCAATGTTAAATAATTAAGAACAGGGAGCTTAGAGCAATGTGAGTTGTTTGCTAAGCTGGATCCCGTCAAACCAAATAGATAAATCGTTTTGTCAACTACAAGACCATGTATTTATCAACAAAAAATGGAGACTCTAGAACCCAATTCTGTAGCTTGTGCTAGGAGTAGTGTTTGTCTGAATGGGAGTTAGGAATCAACAGGGACTAACTGTTGAACATGACCCACCTTTCTGCAGTAGTATGGCAAAAATGGCTAGTGTCATCCGTGGCTGTATAGTGAAGGAAGCAGCAAACATAGCTAGGGAGGAGACTTTTGTCTTTAGATTAGACGTTGGTGAAAATGATACTGGAATGTCGCTGCTGCCCAGGATTAGTTCTGATATTCTTGGTTTTGATTTTGTAGAACGTGAATGAGAAATCATTTGTGGCCCAGAGGAAAAAAGTTTTTTACTTCTCTCACTGCAGAGCAACCTATTTGTTGTAGGAATCTGTCTGATAAGTAACTAAATGAAAGATGTAAAACCAGATAAGGCCAAAAGGGCTGTAAGGATAAGATATATTAAAGAATCTTGAACCCCCTTTTCTTTTTTTAGCCTGCAGCAGTCTCATTCAAAGTGTATATATATACATGTTGTTCTCCAAAGATTTGATTGACACACTGAAAGCCCTGTGTAAGGGGAAAGGAAGGAAAGATACAGGAAAAAGAAGCTGGGCAAATGAGAGTAAAATCTGAGTAGTTCCCTACATGTGCATTTCCTTTTGCTTTCATTGTTTGTTCTTTCTGAGACATATTCCATTAACAAATCACTTACTCTTGACAGTCGATACTGATAAACGACACGATAAAGATTTTGCCCTGTGGAAGGCTGCCAAACCTCAAGAGCTATCTTGGGCTTCTCCCTGGGGAAGAGGAAGACCTGGATGGCACATTGAGTGCTCCACAATAGCAAGGTCAGATGTCTTGGATTTTAAATCCAGTGCTGATTTTTGTTTTCAGTCACAATACAGTGGTAGCAATGGTACTGAAACTATTTTACCTGGTCGGTAAAAAGCACTCGTTTTAATCTGAGTACTTTCTGCAGTGTTGGGTGTCTGGTGTGGCCCCAACCAACTCAGCTCCACCTTAACAGAGCAGCTGTCTTGTTACGTTTTAGTAATTTCTCTCTTTTACGAGAGACGTGGGCGCTTAAGGTTTGCCATGCAGGATCACGCAGTGAATTAGCAAGTCTTTTGACTTGAACTGAGTAATCAAAGTTTTAATGGAAGCTATGGTACCTCTTTCATCTACCTCTCTTCCACTTTGTGCAGCATCCAACACACCTAATCAAGCATGTAGTGCTATATTAAGAGGATAGGGTATGGGCTTCCATCCCAACTCCAGTCAATATATGAGATTTGGCTGTCCTTACCATAACGGCATTTGTGGATATGCAGGCTAATGATCAAAATGTTATTCATCTTTCTTCAAAATTCAACCATAGCATTAGATGTTCTGATTTCTCTGTGGCCGTGTATTCTGTGGGCATAACGTGAATTGTGCAGAGTAGCACTTTGCTCATAGTTGGTTTAAATTCATTTGCTCCAAATTTGGAGTTTTATTTTCTTTTCTCTGCAGGATGATAGTACTTTGTCCTCTGCAGTAGCCCTATTCATTTGTGTATTTTTGGAAAAAGAGAGTCCTCTTCTGTCCTGGAAGATTGGTAGTGATACTTAGTTTGCAATAGCCTTGGATCTTTTTTGGAAGTTAATAACATATTACTGAGGTCTTACCCTTTTTAACTTGAGAGCTGAGCCCGGACTGAGAGTAGATGGAACTATTGCTTTAGGTTTCTCTTTCATATGCTGTCCTGGGGCACCTGGGGTTGTTAGTCATTAGTTCCTGATTGTGAAAAGCATTGGTAAAGAAGATTTTATGTCAGTAAGTAGTTTCAGCACTGTGAAGGAGTTGTTAAAGCAACTGAAGTGTACGAAAACATGCTGTTTGAAGTGCAACCTGTGACAGAAATGTACTGTAGGTAAGAAATGCCAACCCACTATAAAGTCGCCCATCTGCTGATGTGATGCTATTTATAGCCTGTATTTCTGAAAAAACTTATTTCCTGTGGCTGGAGGAGGCGGCTTCTGTCATGCAAATAACAGCTGACCCATGCAGAGCATAAGCGCGGTAATATTTGACTGTGAAAAATGGAGAACTTATTTTTTTGTAAGTCACCTAAAATGTTTTACTGTCACAGTCAGCTGTCAGATACCCATTTTAAACAATAACTACTTACCCATCTGTTTTGCCAAAGATCTCAAAGCACTTAGTCATTTCAGTGAATTAATTTTAGAGTTTCTTTAAAGTATGTGGGAAAAGGAAGAATGAGAAGAGAATTGGTCTCTATTACAATCCTGATGAAGGGAACCATCTGAGATGACTTACATCTGATCTCTTGCTGAAGCTTCACTTGCAGTGAGAAGGGTCGTTCCTCCTGTTCCTGAGCATTTTGCAGTTCCCTTTTCCCCTCTCCTCAGCCCTTATTTGCCTTTTTGGAGGAATCTGCAAATGGCAGTGTTCCTCTGTAGATGGCAGGGAAGGCAAGAGTAGGGGTTGCTCCTGTGAAGAGCTATGCTTAATCTGTTTTTGGAGCAGATGGAAATAAGCAGATGGGCATGAACTTGGGAAACGGCCATCAGCCAGTTCACCAGTGATGTCTTTCTCTGTTTCTTCCCTTCCTCTGCCTTGACTAGTTCTGCAGATCAGTCACAAGCCTGGATGTCAGAGGGCGTTTTGCCCCAAAAAGCAACAAAAGTACTAATATCTAACCAGCTACCAGAAAAAGAGGAGCAACATGTTGATATGACACTTGGAAAGATGATGTGTGTCTGTGTGCATGTGTGTGTCTCATGTTTTATCTTCTACTTGCATAGACGACATTTTATATTATATATGTATGTATGTATATGTATATATATGTATATATATATATACACTTTTTCTTTCTTTTCTAACTTGAGAGTCTGCAGCTACTGGGCATTCATATAGATTTGCTTGCCTGTGAGAATGTAAATATTGTCTTTATTTAACAGAAGAGCAAAACCAAGTTATTAACTTGTCCCAAGTGATGTAACAGGGACCCGCAGGAGTAGCAGATAGTACTTGACTCCTGTGCTTTAACCAGGGAGCCTCTAGGTCTGTGTCATGTTGTCACATGACCGCCTTGTGTAGCCCAGGCCTCTCTATAAATACTGGTGGTTGAAAGTAAGTACTCGGCTAACCTGCACAGATGCAGCAGTGCTATGAGGATGATAGGAGTCGGCTTGGGAGATCACAGGCATATTTCCTTGTCGCTGACCTGTGCACGTGTATAACCCAGACTGCTACCGAATCAGAGGTTTGTATTTTCAACGGGTCGCTCGTGGAAATTCAGCTACGTGTGGAAGTCTGGTTTCTCCTTTCGTTTGTGGCTTTACGCTGTTGTGACTTCAGTGGACTTGATTCTTCAGTCTCATTAGCATAAGCCCAAAATTAGACACTTCATTTTGATATTGTAACAGTATAGGACTAAGCATTTTCTATCGTGACTGTGTAGGGTATTGTCTGAATTCTTACAGAAGTGGAACAAGATAGAGAGTAACGATACCAAGTTTAAAGAAACGTATCTCACTTTGGAGTTGCTTGATTTGCAGATGAAGGTCACTGTCTGATATTAATTCAGTAACTAAACAAGAAAGGAAATGTTCTGCTTGCAGTTCTTGTATCTAAGTTAGAAAAATAATTGTTCCTAGTAAAGAAAATTGATTAATTGCAGGCAGCTGTGGCCTTACATGGAAGCTTTGCTGCCATTTTGGTGATGACACCTGTTTAAAGTCTTGTTCTGATACTATAACAATTAAACGATGTATTTATATTTATGTTGTTTCATCTTACTCTTTTACACCTTTCTCTTAGAAAAAACTTTTGTAGTGTTCTACTACTGATCAGGAAAATATTGTTACAGTGCAGTGTTTGGAAAGCATCTGGACATCCATACTGGTGGAATAGATCTAGCATTTCCTCATCATGAAAATGAAATTGCACAGTGTGAGGTGTATCATCAATGTGAGCAATGGGGAAATTATTTTTTGCATTCTGGTAAGTAAAAATATTAGTCACCTGAGAGCCCTGCACAAAATCAAGGGGTGTTTTTTAGGTTTGGCATTTGTATGCTGTGAAATGTGGAGGAAACATTACAAGCAGATACTCTACTACAATGACCGAGTTCCTGTTCTCACTATGTAAGTGAAGAAAGGTAAACGAGAGTGAATCCTGAAACAGTAGAATGGATGCCTAGTATTAATAGAGCATTGGGGAAATCTCTGACAGTGCTGTGTGCGTTCCCCGTGTGTAATGTTTAATCCTAACCAAAGACATGGAAATGAGGATTCTTCATGTAGAATCTCATTTGCCCTTACATTTGCGTTTCCTCAAATTTGAGGGTACTTTTTGTATGGTAGTGTTTCTTTTTAATTTTATTTCGGCTGTAATAGTCTTGCAGGAAGAGGGTAAAAATAATTGATCTTTTCTATGTGTGCTTATGTCATCCTCCTAAAAGCAGAAGTTCTTATTGTCTTGGAAGTACAAAATCTGAAGGTGAGTGAGTGGAAGGGACAGGTAGTTTACTGTAATATTTTTAAAACATCAAAACTAGAATAAACTGCTATTGTTTTCCATCACCTCTCAGTACCAGCTGCTGGTGGGCTTAAAAGTTTTTTTGTAGAATGCC